TAAAATGGGCACAAAGGAAAGCTGGACTTGGCTCCTGCCCTGCTGTGGTGACGTCTAAGGGAGAGAAGGCTGGGATGGAGGCAGGACTGGAAGCATGTGGCAGGCAGATAGGAGTGGGAGGACCCCTCCCCAGTCCATCTCGCGTTCTCAGCTCCCCCCCCCCCGGCTTCTCCCTTACCCGCACCCCCCAGCAACATTCAGGTGTGTGTTGTCATGGAGACGGTCCAAGGCTAGTACATTTAAGAGCTTACCTCCCTTCTTCTTTCATTTCCCAAAATAACCCATCCTGTCAGTCAAGTGACACTTAGGCAAAGTGGTGAGACAAGTGAGATTGTTCCAGCGCCATTAACTGTTCCGCAGGGCAGCTGCTGGCGAGGGGGGCGGGGAGGAGTTTCCATCCTCACAAGGCAGGGAGTTAGCAGAAAGCTCCCAGCGACCGTGACGATGATGCTGATGAGGAGTCCGCTGCAGCAGGCTGCACTGTGCTGCCGCTCCCGCAGTTAAACGCGTACTGGCAGCACGCCCACTTGACAGGCCAGGAGGCTGGGGCTCCCAGGAGTGAGTGCTGGGCTGAGTCCAGACACCAGGCATCCTGTTCCACTTACAATGGAAGGGGGCGAGCCTCAAGGGCCCCAGGAGCCCAACCCTGGCTCCACCAGCCTCTCTCCTTGCTGACTCTCGAGCAGGGCCCTCCACTCACCCCGGAGCCCGTGCTGTCTGGTCGTTTCTGCCTGCCTCCCTTCCCCTGCAAGAAATGCTTCTGGGCCATCAGCATCCGCTGGTCCCTGGCAGCCAAACCGTGTGATCTGCACACGTTCCTCACCCACAGGTGCTGGGTCTGCTCCCCCAACAGGGCCCACCCTAGTATGCGTGGCAGAAGGAACTTTGGGTTCCCAAAGGGGCCCTCCTTGCTGCTCCTGCACTTCTACAGAAAGAAGCCTCCCAGCCTTCACTTACCCACCTCTGAAAGGCCACACGACGGCTGTGCAGAACGACAGGGAAATGGATGGATGGTGCTTAATAAACAAGATAACAAATAGCAGGTGGGTCGGGACCCCTGTGGAGCTATCCCACCAAGCACTTTGGAGCGCCTGCCAGCGTGGCTAGACAGAAGACTGTACCTAGACTGCGCTGCTGTTGATTTGTGAATCCGGGGCGCCACCTGGTGGTGACTTGTCTCAGGCGCGCGGTAAACCGGAAGGAGAAACACCTGCCTCCAAGGGGAGACCAGAAACCAAGCAAGGACCTGCTGCTGCTCCAGTCTGGGTTGTGCCAGAGCCCGGCAGCCCAAGGCTGCCACTCAAGTCCTGCCTCCCCGTATCAACTCCTCACTCCCTCCACCACTCCCTCTGCATTCACCCACACTGCCAAGGTCACACTGTGTGTGAACACAGTCCCGCTTAATTCAGCAGTGAGCACCTGTCATCATCCTCTTCCCTGATGAGGGACTAAGCGGGTCCCCCAGAACACTCCTCGGGGACTTCGAACAACTTTGGCTGAGCCTGACACCACCTTGTCCCACGCCTTCCGGCCTTCCGCGTCGTGACAATGGGAGTGCAAAGAACAGGGCTTGCAGCCCCAGGCCTACTGGAGGGATGTTTGTGCTGCAAATCACTTTTCTAGAATCTTCATGCCAACTTCTCTGGCTCCAGGTAGGCAAGAGCCAAGTGTTGTGTTGATGCACCTGCCACTGGAAGTGCTGTCTACACGTAGAGGGGGACCCTTAAATGTGTTTGCACTTAAACTTTTTATATTTTCAGTTAAAAAAAAAGTAACCCAAATTTGTCATACAATCTGTGTGAGCAGCAAAAAGGGCTAAGTGTCTCCCCAGCCCCCTTCCCTTTGTCCCACGCCAGAGTGTTTACCCAAGTGAGCAGTGTGCCACTTCCTGAGGTCAGCACTCACCTTAGAGAAACCGTGTCTGTTGCATCACGGTGGCCAGACTGCTAGGGGTGGTGGGTAGCCAAGCCAGTGTGTGCCTGGGCTCTGGAACCAGACTTCCAGGGTTCAAGTCCCGGCTCTGTTCCTCACCTAGCCTTGTGGGCCTCAGTCCACCTGCTGGGCTGGCCACTGGAGCACTCTGGCCCTGCCAGCTCACGGCAGCACTCGCTCCAGCCTTTGCTGAGAGCAGCTGTGAACGGAGGGACAGCACAGCTCGGCTGCTGCACTAACACGGCAATGCCTCATGGCACCACAGCTCCCACGTCCATACAGGGCTGCTCTGGGCCGAGATTCGCGGGCCAGTGCCAGGGCCCTCACAATGTGTGTCTGAGCTTTTCCACGCTGCGCTCACCTCCACAGGCTTATCCAGAAAGTAATGGGGAAGCAACTCCCACCAGCCAAGTTCAATGGCTTTATTGCATTGGGCTTCTAAAAGTTATTATTTTTATAAACTTATGTATTTGAAAGGTGGAGTGACACAGAGGTAGACCATGTATGCACTGGTTCACTCCCCAGATGGCTGCAAGGCTCACGCACCCAGGCCATCTTCTGCTGTTGTCCCAGACACACTCATAAGAAGCTGGACAGGAAGTGCTCACATATGGAATGCTGGCACTGTGAGTGACAACCTACTCCGCAGCACCACAACACTGGCTCCGAGTCAGCTGAGTACACTGTCTAATGCTGTCGGGAAAGCCTACCTATCTCTGCAAACACTTAACATTTCTTTGTGATCAAAACATCAAAAATCTTGTTTCTAAAGAGAAACACACAGGAACTATCCATAGTTGCTCTGCTGTGCAGAAGGGCTCCAGAACCTCTTCATGTCTGGCCCTAATTAGTGCCTGCCAGGCACCCTTTCCCAGCCCTCCCTCAGCGGATCCTCCATCTCCACGCACCAGCATCCTCCATGGGCTCCGTTCATGTCCCGGCAGCTCCACTTCCCACCCAGCTCCCTGCCTGTGGCCTGGGAAAGCAGTCAAGGATGGCCCAAAGCCTTGGGACCCTGCACCTGTGTGGGAGACCTGGAAGAAGCTCCTGGCTCCCAGCTTCGGATCGGCGCAGCTCTGGCCACCATGAGCCCTTGAGGAGAGAACCAGCAGATCTTTTTGTCTTTCCTTCTCTCTGTAAAATCCGATCTGCCTTTCCAATAAAACAAATCTTACAAAAAAAAAAAGTCCGACAGCCTAGGTTAGTCACCTCGCCGACTGTGTCGGTGGTCTGATGACTCAGAGACGTCACCGCTCGGCAGGTGCCTTTGGGGCCTGGAGGCCGGTTGGAAAGCACGTGGTAAGGGCACCCTCGGCTCCAGCGCTGCGGATCTGACGCGCCACTGAATTAGAGGATATACATGAATTCTGGGCCCACTTAGGGACACTTCAGGCCATGTGGCTTAGCCAGCAAAAAAGCTCACACTAACATGCCAGGTGAAAGGGGTGACAACTCTACTGCTGGGTGCCAGTTTCAAGGACAGGCTTGCCCCGGGTAGTGCTAGCCAACTGTCACCGTGAGTGCAGAGGGCTACAGCTGGGGCTGTCATGGTGTGTGTTGAAGATTCGTCATTAGTACGCTGCAGTGGGAGCTGCCATCTGTTCCATGACACTGAGGCTAGGGGATGGCTAGGGGGCGGCTAGGGGGCAGGGGGCGGCTAGGGGGCGGTGAGGGGGCAGGGGGCAGCTATGGGGCGGCGAGGGGGCAGGGGGCAGCTAGGGGGTGGCAAGGGGGCAGGGGCCAGGGAACCATGCCTCGGTCTGAGTGCTGATGAGCTGGCGACAATGCCTGCCTAGGGCTGGAGGTCAAGGGGCACACCTCAGGCTGCATCTTTCCCCAGCACCTGGGCAGTGCCGTGCCACAGAGGCTGCTGCTGCCTTGGGGTGACCATGGGAAGGGTGTGGACCTAGGAGCCAGGTTCACGTGGGTTCCAAGCCCGACTCTGCCCTCGGCAGCTGTGTGGAGGGGCAGGTTGCTTAACTTCTCTGAGCTTCAGATTTCTTTTCTGTAAAATGGAATCACATGACATGAGGCTCAGGAAGGTGAAGGCACCCTCCCTGTTCCCATGGCATGGGGGTGCCTTCTCCTGGCCCTCCTGCACTCAGCCTCAGAGGAGACCCACTTATCTTTTCCTTCTTAAAATATCTATTTTATTTGAAAGTCAGCTAATCCTGAGCCTGAGGTGCCAACATCTCAGCACCGGAGAGGCAGAGAAGAGAAAGGGGCAGTGACAGGGATGGGTGGGAAGAGGCCAGAGGGGCAGAGAGAGACAGGTTCATGGCAATTCCCACGGGAGGGAGCCAAGAGTGATGTAGGTGAGGGGCAGGGCCCTGCATGGACCCCACCCGCTGCCTGGGACCAGGGGCACTGGCACCGAGCCTGAGGATACTTGAATTTGATGATGAATGATTAAAATAAAAACCGAAGGTGGTCTACTCAGGGATGGGACACTCGCCATGGTCAGGGTAGAGCATGGGCAAGGCTGGAGGGACCTGACCCCCAGTGCCGAGGGATGCTGCTAGCAGGGTCGTGGCAATGACTGAAGTTGTCTGCAGACACTTAGTAGAGGGGCAGATGAAATTACCCGCACAGCCCCAGGCCGGCACTGCCCCGGTGAAGTGCATGGCTCAGGCAGCCGACCTGGAGGAATCAAGCAGAGAACATCCGCTCAGTGGGATCTAGGGGCTCTGGAACCCCTGGGGAGCCCCTGTGACAGGCAGCAGGGTGTTCAGGCTGCCGTTGGAAGGCAGTGGCGGGCCCCAGCCAAGCCAGCCTGGTCTACACAGTGAGGTATGCTGAACATGTTTTTAAAATGGCAGCCTGTCAGGGTTCGCACTGCAGCACAGACACTCCATATGGGCACCGGTTCGTGTCCAAGCTGCCCCATTTCTGATCCAGCTCCTAGTTATGGTCTGCGAAGGCAGCAGAGGATGGCCCAAGTCTTTGAGCCTCTACATCCAAACGGAAGACCCAGAAGCTCCTGGTTTGGGACAGCCAAACTCCAGCCACTGTGGCCATTTGGGGAGTCAACCAGTGGATGGAGGATCTCTCCTCTCTTGTTCTGTCTTTCAAATACAAATTAAACTAGATCTTGAAAATGAGAGTGCATTAAAAACAAGCAAAGAGAATCACAGCATCTTGGGTGCGTGACTTTGGTGAGTATGTGGCTTTACCAGAAATTTATCACTGGCACCATGGAGATGCCGCGTTGAGCCGAGGTTATGGGTCACGTGGCAGGATGCCGCGTTCAGCCGAGGTTATGGGTCACGTGGCGGGAGGCTGTGCCGGGTTGAGGTTACCAGTCACGTGGCAGGATGCCATGGAGGGTCAAGGCTATGGGTCACGTAGCGGGCTCTGCAATGATCTTCCAGAGCTCCTGTAACACAGAGAAAGGACAGGCCCTGAAGTGTGCTATCTCAAGTGGCAGGAAAGCTGGATGGACAAACCCTGGGGGACCAAGATGCCACAGGGCGGACAGGCCCTAGAGACAGGCAGTGGGCTCCGAGGCACCAGCTGCCCTGGCTGCTGACCTGTCTGAAGAGCCGACTTCCCGGGTCTGAACACTGGCACCTGCAGAGTGCACCAGAGCAGTGAGGTTCTGCAGCCCGCCTGGCACAAGCAGCCTCCACCTGCATGAGCAGTCTCCCTGGAGGCCTCTGGGAGGCAGGGCAGTGCTCAGGGTGTCTCCACACACCCTGGAAGTGCCCACAGCCAGCCTGGGCTGGCCTGGGTCGTGCCTGGGGGCCCGAGAGCCCATGGCTGCTGCCCCTCACCGCTCTTCTCTCACTGAGCATGAGGCCCAGTGAGTCTCTGCAGACCAGGGAAAGGGAGGTTCCTGCAAAGGCCAAGAGGAGGTAAACTCTCCATCTTCGGATCTGCAGGAATCCAGCTCCTGGCAATCTCAAGGGCTTGGCAAGTGTCATTCTGATGTTTCCACTTTTCCCTAAGGGCCAGGAAGAGATTTGGCCCCAGCCCTGCCATGTCCTGGCTGGCTGTCACGTGAGCATTAACTGACAGCGGTGTGACTCTGAGGCCTCCTGTAACAGGCTCCCACTGTGCCCGGGACAAGCCTGTGGGGGCCGGTCAGCAAATTTCCACACTGAAGATGAAGCCACCTGCAGTCACAGCGCAGCCCCCAGCTCAACAACTGCGACCCCTGACCCCAGTGCCCCCCACTGCCTTCCTGCTCCCCCAGGCCTGCTTGCCCTGGAGTCTGAATGACATCAGGAAAAGAATGTGAGATCCACGAAAGTGCTGAGGGGGCGGGTTCTTCGTCTCGCTAGGACTGTGCCACGTCTGCAGGCTCGGCTGTGTGTGGGCACCCCGGCAGCCCCTCCAGGGCTCGGACCTACCAGCTGCTGGATGCGCTCATAGAGTAGCCGCTGCGGGAAGGAGGCCTCCACGGGCTCCACCATGAAGCGCAGCGGGCCGCCCGCCGGCCTCTCCAGAGCCTCTAGTGAGGCACGGAAGTGGTCGTAGGCTTCGCACGTCACGTCCAGGTGTCGCAGTGTGAAGTTGAGCCTGCAAGCAACGGGCCACACGAGCAGCTGTCATCACGGGAAGGGCTTGGCTGCCCTGTTGCCTCATGGCTTTCACTTCCCAAGGGCGGTGGTAACTGATGCCCACTGCATGGCAAGCCCTAGTGCAGTGTCGGCCTGCACCTGCGAAGGCTCGGGAGGTGGAAAGCTGATCATCTCCACCTCCCAGGGGCGGATGTCGAGGCTCACAGCACTGGGCAGACGCAGGGGCAGGCTGGCCCACTACCCAAGGGTGCCGACCCCGACAGTCGGGGGGACGAGGACTCTGCAAACACGCAGGACAGTGACAACACTGTCAGAAGTCAGGGGACGGCACAGACTCCAGAGACAGCCACAGCAGAACGGAGTGTGATGGTGCGCTGCGCACCTCGCGCCGCTGGAGCCGAGACTCGGGCTCTTCACCCCTTTCCTTTCTATGAAGAATTTCAGATACACGAAGGAGCAAGATACACTGTCCCCTGTGTAAACACTGCAGTGTGCATCTTCACCCACACAGACTTCAGCACTAACAGCCAGGACTCCGGTTTAGCCCTTGCAGGCCGGGCCGGTCCAACCTGCGGTCTGAAGGTCCCTCTTTGGCCACTGGCTGGCTAGGTGCTGCGCAGGGTCCCAGGACCGCAGGGACTTCCCCAAGGTAAGTGCTGAATGCTTGGTTTTAGGGCCTTTGCTACATATCTGAGTCTGTCTTGAGAAGGTGTGGATGTCCTAAGAATTGGAGAAACCACAAGGAGAGTGTCAGGCACCGTGCCACACATTAAATGGGGCTGTAAGCTGGCAGGACGTTTGCGGGAGCATCCTGACAGGGCTGGGGGTGAGGAGGCTGACTGCATCAAGGAGAGAGAGGCAGTGCCAGCAGAGCCAAGAGCGGAGGTTCTTGGTGGAGCATGGTGGTTGGGCTGTCTTCACGTCTTTGTTTCTCAGCAGCCAGGGCCCGTCCACAGGGTCACACTTCCCCCGGGCTCTGTCAACTGGCAGGCAGGGCCCAGGCAGAGTCGGGGGTGTGTGCATGGTGGGGAGAGGCTGGCTGACCCTCGGGTGCCAGCCCTGCCCAGGCAGAGGGGCTCGCTCACCTCTTCTCTACTGACAGGATGGCTGTGCAGGCATTTCTGAACCTGTGAGCGAGCCGGGACAGCGTCTTAAACAGGGCGTCTGTCAAGTCATCGTCATAAAACACTGCGGGGAGAGAAAACCCACTCCAGGAAAGCCCACCTCCCGGAGGGATCCACACGGACCCCGCAGGGAGGCCCACCTCCCAGAGGGACCCACAGGGACCCCGCAGAGGCAATGCCAAGCACAGAATACTTCCCAGAGCCGAGACGCCCCGGGATGTGGAGCCCGGCCTGGGCAGATGCTTCCTAGATCCAGAGTGCTCTGGGGCAAGAACACAGAGTGCGCAGGTGTGTGCGTGACCGAGTCGCTCACCTTCAGCGGCCAGCAGCACCGTAGTGTGGGCGTACAGGTCAGAGATGTCCTCTTCCGACCAACTGAACGGGACCTCGGGATCTATGGGAAAGGACAGCATGGTGGGTGCCTGCTCCTCTCTGTTGCCCCCAACTCTCACAAGAAACTTCCTGGAAAGGGCCTAACAAGATGGCTCAGCTGGCTAATCCTCCCCCTGCAAGCTCCGGGATCCCATATGGGCGCTGGTTCATGTCCCAGCTGCTCCACTTCCCTTCCAGCTCCCTGCTTGTGGCCTGGGAAGCAATAGAGGACGGCCCAAGGCCTTGGGACCCTGCACCCGCGTGGGAGACCCAGAAGCTGCTCTTGGCTCCTGGCTCCAGATGAGCTCAACTTTGGCAATTGCAGCCATCTGGGGAGTGAGCAAGCACACAGAAGATCTTTCTGCCTCTCCTCTCTGGAAATCTGATCTGCCTTTCCAATTTAAAAAAAAAATCTTAAAAAAAAAAAAAAAGAAAAACAAACTTCTTGAAAAGAGACACTGCTGGGGCAGCTCCTTGACTGGGTACTGCCAGGCAGACTTGCCTGGGTCCCAGTATCCCCAGCTCCAGGGCCATGGCTACCTGTGTGGAGACTGCCAGCCTAAGAGGTGTCTGCTTGCCAGGGAGGGGCAGCGGACCCTGTTGATGGGTTGGTGACCCCCCCACTGCCTCTCCTTTGGGGGCTTAGTTTGTACACTAACAGGGTGGGCGCGCAGCCAGTGGGCACAGAATGCAAAGTGCTTGGCAGCTGACAGGCACTTCCTGCCTTCTGCCCTTGCCAGCCTGACGTGTGAGAGGAAAGGAGTTGCCATATGAAACGGGAGCTGCATTTCGTCCTAAGGTCAGTACAGGCGAGGAGACAACGCTCCCACCCAGGGCTGGACCATTTGCTGGGAAACAGCTCATGTTCTAGGGGTTGCCAGATTGGAGTCCACACCCTGGCCAGCCGGAGGACCCTGGCAGACCCTCCTCCTCTCCCATGGTAGGGCTCATCTCCCTTACCGCACTGTGATGCCATGAGCGTGGGGGACTTGCCAGGATGTGAGGTGACCCTGGTGAGAGCCCGGGTGCTGCTGTTCTGTCAGGGCCCCGGAGGATTTAGAGAGGGATTCCTGAGCCACTGCAGCCCCAGGGGGGACACATACCTGTGCAGAGGTCATCCTTCAGCCAGTCCAGCTCTTTGACCTTCACTGTGCCACCTGTACAAACAAAGTGAACCCTGGATTCTGCATAACCCTAAAGATAAACGTGTACCCCAAACAGCAAGCCCGCTCACACAGCTCTCCTCCCACCCTCCCGCCTCCGTCTCTGGAGCACTTCTGGACTGCTAGGTGTGACCACAACAGACACAGGAACAGATTTCCAAGTTACAGCTTCACCCTTGGGTGCAGCTATCCTCCATGACTGCAAGCTGGCTAGAAAGCTACAGGACTGTGCGCTTAGGGGCACGTGAAAAGGACAAGCCGGAGGCACACATGGGGACGGGAACCCTTGGGTCACAAAGGCATGTCTGGGAGAGCAACGGTTCACCTGTTCCCTCCTGGTCTTTCCTGACCACTCCCCGGACACTGAATGTGTCAGGGACCACACTCCTCTCGGGGCCTGCAGCCTAGCAGGGAAGGGGTGGCAGAGAGCAGCCAGCCAGCCCCACTAGTACACAGTGAAGTGTAGTGCTTCTGGGCTGTCACGGTCCGTCAGGGCACTCGTCAGGAGGCCAGAACCTGAGGAGGAATTGCTGGGGGCAGGAGATAGGGCACTGGAGGAAAATAGGGTACCAAGTGCAATAGCCCAGGGAGGGGACCTCAAGCAAGGCCAATTGGGCTGGACTGGGGGAGCCAGGCAGTGCAGAGGCTATAGAGGGCAGGGCCAGACCCCACAGCAGACAGGACTATGTGAGCTGGGTCTGCAGGAGCCCCCCAGACTGCTGGGAAGCAGGGCTAAGAGGGGCTGCCCAGTTAGAGACAACGGCCAGCAGTCATCATGGAAGGCTATGCTGGGACCCAACAGTGAGGCGAGGGCTGGAGGACAGAGTGGGCTGAGAGCACAACCCGTGAGATGGGTCAGGAGGGAGGCAGGGAAGCAGGCAAGGCCAGGACAGAGGCGTGGAAAGGTGGGGAAGGGCTGGGAGATGACGGAGTCCTGGCACGGATCCAACAGGGAGGGACAAGGCAGGCATCCCAAAGGGTCCTCTGCATGTAAGACAGAGCACGTCCTGGAGAATCCGACGGGAATGGTGACAGGGAGCTGAAGGCAGGATGTGACAGTGGGAAGGTGACCTGAGGTCAGACCACCTGTGTCTTGCAGCTTCTGAAGCCATGATGCCACGTGTTCCCTCCATCTACCTGCCGCCAAGGGAGCAGGTGCACCCCTGCCTCCTGGGTGCTGCCCTACCCGCCCCACGGGCCTCACCTGCGGCTGCCAGGTGGCTGTTGAGGGCGACGTTCCGCTGACACATCGTCAGGAGGTCCGCTCCGACATCTGCAACGACAGGCCAGGCCGCCAGGTGGCAGGCGTCAGGGCACTTTGAGCTCCACAAGCAGCAGGAACTAAGGTTACTTCTGGTCCTGGAAGGCTGTTCTCAGTGCTTTCCCCTGAACGAGAAACCTTCCTGGGGAGTCAGACTGTGCATCTGGAGCGGAGAGGGCTCCCAGCACTTTGCACTCCAACGCCAGGAAGCTCTGAAGAGCAGAGGGCTCAGGTGAGCGCAGGGAACAAGGGCTGGGCTTTGCAGTCAGGCTTGCACTCCGACACCCAGGTCAGAAGGCATTCTGACAGGATTAACTGAGGTGGCCAGTGGGTCCAAATGGGCCAGCACTTGTGTTCCTGGGATGGTTCCCTGCCTGGCCAGCCCAAACAGCGGTATCTGTCCTCTCCAGAAGGAGCAAGGCACAAGAAGGGAAGGGGCTACCCTTCAGAAGAAGGCCCCTGGACAGAGACTGCCGCTGGGTGGTGCGCCTGACAGTGCAAGGCCAGTTTAGCTGTTGCTAAATCCCCAGGGGGCTGTCAGGGACACCCCCTGGGACTCCAGAGAAGCAGCTCCAGCTGAGTTGGGAGGTACCCTTGGCCCTCAGGCCTGGCCCGCCCATGAGCCCTCCGCAGGCCCCCAGCAGCTACCAGGGCTCTGCATCTACAAACCACACAATGCAGAGCTGGGGTTTGGGCTGTGTTCTCGGGTTTGCTTGAGGGTTGAGCATAAAGTGAGCTGGCTAATTCGCCTTGGCTTCCTGTAGCCACTTGGACAAAGGGGACAGCAATGGGCTTCCTGGCTTTTGGCACTTACAGAAATCCTAGGGTAAACACAGGCTTGCCAACTCACTGCTGGGTGCCCCGCAACTCGAACCCCATCTGGCAGGTACCCAGGTATTTCAGGTCAGGAGTTCAGCCAACCCCACAATGTGAATCAAGTGGGGACTACACCACTACAAGCGACTTCCACTTGCTGTTTCACATTTTCTACCAAGAACAGGCAAGACTACTACACCCAGGAACAAAATCACACATTGCTGCAAGGCATGTTTCAGTTTCCTGGCACGTGGACAGGCACGACAGAGGGGCCAGAGTCTGGTGCCCGTTGAACCATTCTGCTACAATCCAGAAAAAATGGAGGTTGGGAAAATCCTCCAGGGGAACAAGGCGGCTGAATCAACAGCAGCTAGTGTCCGACTGTTCCCAGCTCATTTGTCACACAGCAGATACCTGTTGTGTAAGCACAACGTCACATCATTACCTGTGCAGTAGACGGTCTGTGCCACGGTGGCTGCCACGATGCTGGCAAGGCCGGTGCCCGCACCCAGCTCCAGCACCGTGCGACCCTCGAAGAGGTCACGTTGGGACAGGATGTAATCAGCCAGGAGCAGGGCGCCCCGCCACACCTGCAGGGGAGACAGTGGGGCAGCAGGTGGCATGCGGCTTGGGAGGGCTCCTCCAGAACCACAGGTCTCCGCTCACACCTACCCACCTGTTTGCCAACATCCTCCAGCGGGGTGGCCATGGTGTGCTCTGCACAGGATGGAAACGAAAAGAGAAACGCCCGCTGTGAAAACGGGATGGGTTCAAAGTCACGGGCTGAGGACACCTGGCTGTCTGTGGACACGTGACGGGAAAAGCAGAAAGAGGGCTGGGGTCCTGGGGGTGGGGCGGGTCAGTGCAGCCCTGGGACGCCAGGCCTCGAGGGTGGCTCACCCTCTTCCGCCAGAGCAGGTGACTCAGCCCAGAGACAGGGTCGCCGCAGCTGTTCACCCAGCCTATTCAGCACATGCGCACCACCCCACACTTCCCTTCAACATTCAACTGCCGCAACTTCAGAATCACATTTATATGCCAGCAATAATCTTAGCTCATTCCACAACTCTTTCTTACACTTAGAATCACACTGGAACAAAAGAAGCTTGCATTTATGTCCTCTTCAGGAAAGCTGAAGAGAAGTATGTTAAGTAAGTATTCCCAAACAGAAGATAGTACAAACAGGGTGGCTGGTGGTGATGCCAAGACAACACAAACACCAGATCAAAGAGAAAAACCAAGACATCCCAACGCGAGGCTTCCTGGAGGTGATGGCATAGCGGGGTCCTGAACGACAATCAGGAGCGTGCTAAGGTGGCAGGGGCTGGGGGCAGGATGTGCCCGTGAGAGCGTGAGCCGAGGCTGCAGCAGTGTGCAGCGGCTGTCACCAGTACTCTGTCCTGAGGGGAACCGGTGCCATGGAGGAGTCTTGTGCAGTCTTGTGCAGGGACCTGTGTTCTGGAAGGCTCTCTCTGCCGATAGTGGCTCTGCTTTGCTCGCACTTATTCCTGATTTGGTTCTGAGAAGTGTCCTGCCTAACGTGTCCTGGCTGGGCCTGACCAGACAGCACACGCACATTCCTGTGCCCTGACGCTGTGGGGTCACCTTGGTGGCAGGGGCGTCCGGCTTTCCCTTACCGATTTGGATGACATCTTGGGGGCTGCTGTCCTGTGCATCACCTCCAGCGACGTCGTCGTCTTCCTGCTGTGTCAGAACCATGGGCTGTACCTTGGCTCTGCGAGGCTCTGCGGGGTCGGGATCAGAGGCGGCGCGGGGCCTCCTCTCCACAGCCAGATCCCCGTCCTCGTCCAGCTGAGCCCCTGCCCCAGCCCAGAGGGAAAAACCCTCAGTGCTGCAGCCACCTCCGGGAGCTGGCCCCTGGGCATGGCCATCTGTGTCACGAGCACCCTCAGCCCCGGGGTCTGTCTCAGCGTCTCGGCTCCACAGAAGCTTGAACTGTGACAGGAACACTGAAAGGCAAGACCAACATTGAGGATAATCCTGAGGCACCTGCCTCTTCCTCTCCTTTTCCGAAAGCCTCTGACTACCAACGGGAAAGCCAGGTGGAGCTGCCCTAATGGAGGCAGAGAGGACCACGGGGCTGACTTACGATCCCTAAGTCAATGGAAGAGGTTCCAGCAAGGGCTGTGTGTGCAGAGGGCTGGGGGAGGGCTAGAGACAGAGGAGCAAGACCCCAGAGGGTGCTTGGGTCCCCTTCTACTCCAGGGTCTGACCCCTGGCGGGTCGCGTCTCTGCTCCGGCCATGAAGAAGTAACAGCATCCAGCACTGAACAGCCCGCAGCCATGCTGGGCCACAGCTATACAGCACGCAGCTCAGAGCAGCTGCCAGTGTTGTGTGGCTGGTCTTCCCTTCACTTGGAACCGCTGCCTCTCTCAAGGAAAATGCCCCTGTGCATGTCAGAGGTGGGTTTACCGCAGACAGGCCCTGACACGCACACTGGCTTCCCAGCTGCGTGCGGGCGCCTCGCTCCCTTTTTTGGACCGAGCCCTGCGAGCCCGTAGGACTGAGCTCAGGGTCCCCTTCTTTCTCATCAAGACTCCCAAAGCACCTTGAGCTTCTGCAGAGTGCTTCTCTCACTCATTCAGTCTCTCAGCAAACAGCCCTGATGGTACCAAGTGCCATGCTAGGTGCTGGGGGTGCAGAACAGAGGGGCAGGGGTCGTTAGCATGGACAAGCAGGCAGAGGCTGGATTGGGTCTGAGGTCAACGGAAAGTCACCCACTGAGAGATCTAATGCAGGGCAGGACTGCGTGTGGTTTTATTGGTAACAGCTCCCCACGGCTGCTATGGAGGTGAATGAAGGAGAGAGGGGAGGAGAGAAGCCGGGGAGCCCAGGTGGGATACAGAGACAGCCAAGCAAGGGGTGGGCAGCTGGACCGGGGTGGAGTGGGGGGCAGAGGCCTGGGGGCCCACTGGGCTTGGCTCCATTACACCTGTGTTTTCAACACCAAGGTTGGAGCCTGGCACCCAGGACACTCTCCAGGAAGCATAGGTGTTTGCTCAATGAAGGATGGGCACTTAAGTAGTGGCTGGTTTTATGATCTGATCTAGCTCCCTGCTAATGCTCCTGGGAAAGCAGTGTAGGATGGCCCAAGTGTTTGGGCCCATGCGCCCATGAGAAAGATCCAGAAGTTTCAGACTCCTGGCTTTGGCCTAGTCTTGTCCCAGCTACTGTGGCCACATGGGGACTGACTGGCAAATGGAAGAAAATCTCTCTCTCCGGGTAACTCTTTCAAATCAGTAAGTATATATTAAAAAACAATGAAGTGCTATGTGTGGGTGCACATTAAGCTGCTGCCTGCCATGCCAACATCCCTTATGGGCACTGGTTACAGTCGCGGCTGCTCCATTTCCCATTTTGCTCCCTGCTAACATACCAGGGAAAGCAACAGATGGCCCAGGTGCTTGGCCCACCACTACTCATACGGGAGGACCTGGATGAAGCTGCTGGCTTTGGTTTGGCCCAGTTCAGTTATTGGAATCATCTAATTTAAGTAGATGGAAGACTTTTTTCTCTCTCTCTACTTCGCTGCAACTGACTTTCATATAAATAAATCCTAAAAAAGAAAAAAGGCAGCAGCGGTATGATAACAGTAACCTGGTTTTCTCAATCTTTTTCCCATAAAAATGGGTGCCATGGGGCACTGGGCTGCCACACCTGTGCCCAGGCCCTTACCTGGCTGGCCCACAGCGTTGAGCCGCACCATGAGATGTCTGTGGTTTGGCGTGTAGAGGTGGACATCGGACAGCACAGTGTCACTTCTGAAGGTGATTTCGTCCATGGCTGGCAGGAGGAGCAAGCTGCACCATGGCCCGAGTCCCGCAGTCACCTGAGGACAGGAGCAGCTGAGAGGTGAGAGCAGGACTCAGGAAGGACTGGCTGGGGGTGTGGGGGCAGCACAGACAAACCCAGCAGGTGGAGCATGGCAGGGGGACTGGGAGGAGAGCGGTTTTCTTTCCAACTCACTTTTCATTTTTCCTAAGGACTAGGCGAGGAAAAAGAATGCAGCCAAAAATACTTTATTTTGGTCGTATCATATTCCTTTTCAGGAGCATTTTTAAACTTATGATCTATAGCAATAAAGTTGTTCCTTTCTAATATTTCCCACTTTAAAAAAAATCATGAAAATCTTCAGACAAGAAAATTGGGAGACCAGCCTACCGGACCTCTGCCCACTGCTTAGACTCAATGACGGCCCACGTTTTGCCGCCTGTGCTTGCCCTGCCTAGCCATCGCCTACACATCGGAGTAGATAGGAGGCAGCAACGCACGGTAAGTCCATCAGGATCTCTCTCCTCAGTCTTGCCACAGAGCCACAGCAGCATCAGCAGACTTTAGACAATGAACAGCTCCCTACTACCAACCAGGCCACACTTCTCTCCTTCTGCCTCCCTAATGTCGTTCAGTTATTTTCCTCCACACACATGGCATTCGGTTGACACAGCTCTAGTCCTTTTACTCTAGAAGCTAGCACTACCTGTCTTTGTACCACTGGTTGTTTTAGACTTGTTTTGTTTTTTTCTCTTAAAAAGAGGAAGGACTGAAAGAAGCCACAGAGGGATCACTGCACAGGTGGTGCTCGGATATGGAAAAGCTACAAAGGTGACCCAGCAATGACTCAAATCTGGAAAACCACACTTCAGGCAAAGCTTGGTCAAGCAGAAGAAAGATGCCAAATGTCCCACATTTCATGGAACAGCTTGATGGACCTGAAGCCCCTCTAGGGAGGTTGGAAGATGGGACCATGATAATCCATCACAACCCAGGGACCATGGCAATCCATGATAACCAGGGACCACGGTAATCCATCACAACCCAGGGACCATGGTAACCCATGATAACCAGGGACCACGGTAATCCATCACAACCCAGGGACCATGGTAACCCGTGATAACCAGGGACCACGGTAATCCATCACAACCCAGGGACCATGGTAACCCATGATAACCAGGGACCACGGTAATCCATCACAACCCAGGGACCATGGTAACTCATCACAACCCAGGGACCATGGTAACCCATGATAACCAGGGACCATGGTAACCCATGATAACCAGGGACCATGGTAACCCATCACAACCCAGGGACCATGGTAACCCATGATAACCAGGGACCATGGTAACCCATGATAACCAGGGACCATGGTAACCCATCACAACCCAGGGACCATGGTAACCCATCACAACCCAGGGACCATGGTAACCCATCACAACCCAGGCTGTTTTCAGGCTCCAATCACACCCAAACGGAATTCCTACATTTAAGTACTTGTCAAAGGGCGGCAAGTCATCCAAATACATACATTTTTAGGAAACAGGAAGATTACTTATTAAGCTCCATGATGTTTTCCCAACTCAACACTATGAAGCCATGCCAGATTTCACTGTGTCAAAGAAAGCAAAGCCGAAATGCTCCTGAGTCCTTGGATAATACCCTTGGCGAAGGGATGGACAAGACGGTCCAGTCAGAGTGGACAAGACGGAGATCAGGCAGCCTGGACATGATACTACCACTTCAAAGGCAGCCCATGCAGAGATATCCTGGGGGGAAGGAGGAACACAGGACTCTGCAGTGTTAGAGAAAAGCAAGAGAAACCAACAGAACTCTGAAGGTACTGTGAAAGTTAAATGCAAGTCCAAAGATTCCATCTGCTGCTACAGTTGCAACTTTGTTGGGAAAATGACAATCCAAAATAAGTCAACTTTTCCAAAAGTTACCATAGCATCACACACCAAGTTTTCTCAGATGCTGCTAAGAAACTCGTATTCTTTTCCATTTCAAAATTCAAACTGGCCAGGGTTTCCAGGGAACAAACGCTGCATGGCACATCTCACGTGCAGGCGGTTCCCTTTAAAGGGCTTTGCCCAGACCCAGGAACGTGATAAACAAAAGGGACATGGGCCACTTTGGGGGCCAACAGTACGGACTCCCATCACGGCAGCTTCACTGTTAACACTAAGAAGCGAGCTGGGAAGATAGGAGAGTCTCCCTTAGGAGGGTGAGGCTGGATGGGACTGGGCTCCTCGCTGGGCGGGGCTGAGAGGCAGGCCGCCTGGCCTGCAGGTTCGACACCCCCCTCCCCGGGCAGAGCGACAGGATGCTGTTCCCATTCCTCCCCTTGGGCCTGCTGGCGGAGTCGTTCCCTACGGCCGTGGACCAACTCCTTTCCTTTCAGTCTTATCAGCAGTCAGCACAGGACGGTTCGCGGCCAGAAGCAGGTGGACCCGACGGCGACAGCGGGAGAAGACGCTGCAGGAAACCGCGGCCCAGGGCGAGTGGCCGGGGCGGCTCCACGGACCCCTCGGTGGTGTCTCTCCTCCCTCCCTGCGTCAACTCCCAGGACACCGCCAAACACCCTTGTTGGAAGAGGGAAATGGGCTAAGAGTGGCCTCGGGCCTTTGGCTTCGGGTTTGTGGGAGCCCAAACTTCAAAACCAGGCTCCGTGTCGGAGGTCCCCGCCACCCTGCTTCCTCCCGACCCTTCGCCCAGGGGTCCGTATCGAAGGTCCGCGCCACCTTGCTTCCTCCCGACCCTCCGCCCAGGGGTCTCACCCAGCACGGCTCTCGAGTTCCGGAGCACGTCTTCAGCTGGGCTCAGGGCGCCGCCATGACGGGCGCTCCGCGCAGGCGCGGCCCCGCCCCCAGCGTGCGCCGGGTTCCCCGCCCCGTGGCCACGCCCACCCGCCAAGGTGCACCTGCTCCGGGTTGGCTCCCGGAACGGCAGCTCCGTGGTGATTTGTTGCGTGCGGGTAGCCGGCCAAGCCCGGGAAGGCTCTGTAAGGAGTGCACCGAGACCCTGGCAGTGGGGGTCCAGGCCTGTCGCCCTCGTTGTGTGTTATCAGTGTTGTTCAGGCACCTTGTTCGCGGTTCGCGGTATGGTTGAAGAACTGGCATTTTTTTCACCATGGTCCACCTTCTCGATACAGTCTGTTCGCCCTCAGCAGGATATAAGCTCCAGCAGGGCAGGGGGTCATTTACTTTTCCATTTTCAGGGCCTGACTCCGTATGCAGTGCACAGGGCCACTCAGCAACGACTGGCTGAACGAAATAAGAGAGTGTGTTTATTAGAGTTGTGCAAAGTGGTGGAGGAGAGCTCACGCAGTGCCGTTGGCCAGCTTGGGCGGGCAGTGGTGCTGAGCCCAGCAGAGAGCAGCTGGTCAGTTGTGTGGAGGAGGCCAGGTCCCTGCAAACGTCTGGTACCTTTGGGGACACATGCAGACTCTTCATCTGGCCCTGCTCGCTGTGCTCTGCTTTCCCATGAGGCATGGATAATAGGGCTTCTGTGTTTCCCCTATGGTTGTATAATCTTATTGTGGGACACATAGTCCCCCAGGGTTCAAACTGAATTTCCCACACTGCCTTTCCTCCCCCGGCCCATCAGCGTGGCCCGTGGCTAAAGGGTTGAGAGGGTAAGTGTCATGGGCAGCTCCCTACTCTGTCCTTTTCCCTGCAACTTGAATCCACTCTCCTGGGCCGTAGACCCCAGCATGAGGGTGCGGGTGTGGGGCTGCAAGATCCTGCAAGAGCCACAGCAGGCTCCCAACCATGCCAGCCCTAGGCCTTTGACATGGGGCTCCGTGGATTCTGACGTGGAAGCGCTTCCTCTCCAATCAAACCTCGTGTGGACTGCTTCAGTCATCTTCATGGAAAGTAATCCTCCAGCTTCCTGACCCACGGAAAACCTGAATTCCCTGACCAAGAAGCCTCATCCATGTATTCCTTGGATCCCTATTGAATGCTGCGTCTGGGTGAGACACTGACTGGTGTGGTGGTCCTGGTGAGGTTGGGGGAAGTAGATAGGAAGCCTGCCCCGGGGGAGCTCATGGAACAGACAGTCGTACTCCTGGAAGTGCAGTCCTAATTGAGATTACAGGACAAAGGGCCTGGTGGCACTGCCAGGTGCCAGACACTGCCCCCCAAGCCCTCATGCCAATGGAGTCGTTCACTTCTCGGAATGACCCAGTCAGGCAAGTCCTGCATCTGCAGAGAAGGAAAGGGAAGGGCCATCCGGCCAAGGAACTTTCTCAAGTGTGGTCTCATGGCAGGGAGACCACCACCCCCGTTCTTTTGTCCATCTTGCAGAAGGCATTCAAGAGGCCAGGGAGCACACCAAAGCCATGTAGAGCTGAGCTGTCCCACGTGGGAGTTAGCAGTCCTAGTTGACTTCAGTGGAGTTACAAGGCGGTGAAATGGAGAATTCAGATCCTCTGTCAAGGCCTCTGGGGCCGCCCTCACGTAGGACAGTCCCATTGTTGCTGTTTCTTGCATGCCGTGGTTTTCTGAGGACACCCTTGCAAATTCCCCGGCCCTGAAGACGGCTCCAGCACGTCCTGAGTCCCAGTGCTCAGACAATGCCAAGGAACCCAAGGCCGGCAGCACCAGCACACGTGGCTGCTGTTGCTATAGCCTGTAGACTTGACATGGTCTCCATCACACAGCCACCACATCCCCCCTCTCCTTTTACACCTTGCAATGTGTATTAGTTCCCTAAAGATTGCTTTAAAGCTTGCTGGCTTGAAGGAAGAGAAATAGAAATTTATTCTCTCATATTTCTGAAGGCCAGCTAATTTAAAATGAAGCTGTCAGGGCCTGGTGCAGTAGTCTAGTGGCTAAAGTCCTCACTTTTCATGTGCTGGGACCCCATGTGGGCACCGCATCCAACCCCTGCTGCTCCACTTCCCTTCCAGCTCCCTGCTTGTGGCCTGGGAGGGCAGTAGAGGATGGTCCAAAGGCTTAGGACCTTGCACCCACGTAGGGGACCCAGAAGAAGTTCCTTACTTTGGATCAGCTCAGTTCTGTCCTTTGTGGCCACTTGAGGAGTAAGCCAGCGGATGGAAGATCTTTCTCACTGTATCGTCTCTCTGTAAATCTGACTTTCCAAGAAAAACAAATGAATTATTTTTTTAAATGAAGCTGTCAGTAAGGTTGTGTTCTTTAAGGGCAACTTCAAGTTCTGCTTTCATCCTCGCAGTCACTCCTGAAGCCTGGCCAGGGCTCGAGTTCTTCATGTCGCCCGGCTGGGGGATGCGGCGTGAGTCTCTGCTCCAGGGACTTGCCCTGCAGCCCTAGAGGTCCTGGCCAGCACTGGGAACAGGGTGTTCCTCAGCTTGGTGAGGCAAGGGTTAAGGTGTGACCGCTCTTGAGCCGGCTTGTCCTGCACTGCTAATGACTGTAGCAGCCAGGGCGAGGCGGAAGGGCTGTCAGACGTGCAGTGAAGAGTCAGCGGGCAGGAAATTACTGTCAGGTGCTTCTGTGAGCTTGGTGAGGGGTAGCGACTCCCGGCGCTTGATGTGTTTTTCCTGTCAATCCTGGAAGGTTTTGTCCTCCTGGATGGCGCGTGTCTCCTGCGGGATTGCTGAGAGTGGATGATTCGGATTCTGACCCATGCTCTTTCTGCCTGCTTCCAACGGCAGCGGCTGCACGGCCATGCGTGGCGACCTTCACTCTGGTTCTTGGCTCTGTGGTGAGAGGCACAAGGTTGACCTTCAGGTGCTCAGAGCTGTGTTGCTGCGTCATCATTCTCTCCTGAGGCCTTGTTATATGCTAGACATTGTAGCGATCGCTCAACTGCTTTGAAACTTCCCTAATTTCTTTTTTATTTTACATGGAGAAATTTTTTTAGATAGAAATATTTATCTTACATGTCAGAGTAAAAGGGAAGGGATAGAAAAAGAGGGTGAGAGAAAGAGAGAGAGAGAGAGAGAGATCCTACATCCAGCGATTCACTCCCCAGGTGGCTGAAATAGCCAGTGCCGGGCCAGGTGGAAGCCAGGAGCTTCTTCTGGGCCTCGCACAGGATGGCAGGGGCTCAGTTCTTTCAACAGCCTTCCTGCTGTGTGAGGTCGCATCAAGCAGGTAACATTCTAAACTCCGTCCAGCCTCATCGGGTTGGAAATGACAGGTCTAACTGGGAGGCATCTACGGGTCTCGGTTTATCCCACCGGCCTGCCTTTTCTTCATGTGAGAGGTTGGTAATCACACAGGGCCCTTGTGGTACCGAGCTGCAGTCACTTCTTTGTGAATGGCCCCTGGGGTCCTGCGACCTTGACATTCACTCGCTGGCCATGTGGTGGATGACTGTGAACCCACAGTCACAGAGAGATGGGTACCCATGGATCCTCTCACACTGATGCTTTCTTGTTTCTGAGAGTCCCTGGTGGTGGGGCACGGTGGTGGTGTCACAGCTGCTTTGAGAAAGACTCCCCAAGAACAAGGTGTGGTTTGAAATGTGGGCTGGGTGGACGGGGGCTAGGCTGGAGGGTGGAGAAAAGATTGCATCGGGGCAGGAGAAACCTGGGGCAGCTGCTACGAGGCTGCACTGGGGAGGCAGGCCCAGGACTGAGCCTCCCTTTGGGCCACCCTTGTAAGCACCAGATTCCTGTGGGTCAGGCGGGCCAGGCTTCATCCGTGCCTTCCCGCCTGCCTCCTGCAGTGCCTCCCCCTGGGGTGTCGTAGCCAGCGTGGGATGCTCATTTGGGCAGCACAGATACCGTATCCAGCCCATGTAATCATTAATAGGTTTGTTTCTCCCCTTCTTCCAACTCCCATTTTCCTTCTTGTTCAACCCCTGTTGCACCATGAGCTTTCAGATCTCACGAATATGCTTTGATTATGTGGGCTACCAGCAATTCCTTTCATCTTGGGAACATTTGGCAACCCAATCTAATCAGTGGAGGGCAGCTGAAGGCTTGTGGTGGGGGCATCTTCCAGCGCTCTGCCTGTGGGTGAAAATGCACGACCTATCATTTCTTGGTGCCCAGCTGTTCACACTGCCCTGGGCCTGTCCACCCTCCTGGTAGGGGGTAGAGCTGAGCGTCCAAGACCCAAGCCCCTGCCATGTTCCAGTGTATGCCATCTCTCATTTCCCATTGCTGCCTGATTGAGGAGGTAGCAAGACTGGCTTCATCTGGCAGATCAGAAAACTCGAGACTCAGAGATTGGAAGTCAGCAGCCTGGGAGATGCAGTGCTGGGCAGCCCGGCCCCCAGACACACAGCACATTGTCTGTCCTCACTCCTGCTGGGCCAGCTGTGCCCGCAAAGACCATGCAGTCCCTCTGGGTCTTGGTGCCTGGACTGAGCGCTTCCTGGCTTGCCCATTAATTCATTCCTGCCTCCTTCGAGACCTCCACCATTTCAATAGTCTTCCCAATTTCCTTGTTGGGAACTCTGCTTCTGTGGAGAGGGATGGCATGGCTACTGCTGTTGGTTCCCACTGAGGACTCTGCCTCCTTCCTCTGTGTCTCTGGGATGCCAAGTCAGCCCCAAGCCAGTGCTGGCCCATGGTACAAGCTCAATAAATATTGATTCCATGCGAGCCAGCTTTCCAGCTCAACTTTTGCAAGGTTTGGCTATTACTCCTCTGCTCTGTGGGGGAATTTTAGCTACAGGCAAGAGGGGGCAGCTGGTGCAAAAAAAAAAAAAAGTTTTTAATTTCTTCTTCCCCAGCTGGAAAATGTGTTTTTAGAGAACAGTGCCAGGCTCTGTGGAGGAGGAGGAGAGGGGGGTTGGCTGTGCAGGAAGGGACTACAGGCAAATGCCAGGTGCTGCCTCATTCATCCAGACATGCGACAGGCGACAGGCAGGCTATGTGGGGCAGCTAGGCAAAGGAGACTGGCATGTCTGAGGGTGGCAGGGGAGATGGGCACTAGAAAGGATTTCCAGAAAGATCAACATGGTTCAGGAACAAAGCTTGGGCTTAAGCATCTTGGGTTCTAATCCCACCTCCTTCCCAAAGTGCTAGCCTGACCTTCTCCCCTCAGCCGGCCATAACAGGCTCCCCCGGGGGATTTGATGAGCTCCTGTGTGAGGGTGCGTCGTATGTTGCAGGTGCCACTTGCGCTTGCTGTTGCCATGGGGTGACTTCGCGGCAGGAGGTGCTGCTGTGGTTTTGAGGTGGTCTGTCTTCCCCAGAGCTGGTGTTGGGGCCTGGGTGACGGTGGTGGGGGCCAGAGGCTGATCCTGTGTGAGCTTTCTGTGAGGGCAGGAGCAAGTCAGGCCTGCTGCTGCTCCGTGCTCCTGGCCTGCGGTGTGATCTCTGCGCGCATTGCCAACCCCCTACCACTCACTGCAGAGAACACAGCAGGTTCTGTGCTCTTGAACTTCCATGCCCTTGAGTGACAGAAACATCTTCTGCTGTTGTAGGGTTAGCACCAGGCCAGGGTGGTGGAGAAGGGAGGGGACCAACGCACAGGGCCCCTCTCTCTCTGGTGTCCCGTTGCCAGTGTTGCCCAGTCCCGGGCTTTGGGGGCTGAAGATGCACTCCCATGTGGGCCCATGCTGGTCTCAGCCCCAGGCCGGTTGGCCCAGCAGCTAGTCCATTCCTCTCACAGCCTCTGGGGAGAAGCTTGGTTTGAATCCTAAGTTCAGCTCTGTCACTGGGCAAGAGCTCTCACTGCTCTGTGGGCCTCAGTTTCCCTACCTGTACACTGGGGACAAACATGTTGAGAAACAAGTCCCTCGGCCTTCTCCAGAGCATGTCCTGGGCTTGCTGCGTGGCTGGCAGTGCAGCGGCACCAGAGTCCACACAGGGGAGGCCCAGGGGACACGTGACCTCCGCTTGACTCTGACCTGTCAGCCAGCTGGCTTCCGCTCACCCTGGCTGCGTGTTGTTCTGATGTCACTGGCCACACACTGGCCACACACTGGCCACACACAGCCTTCACTGCTCCACTTGCACTAGAGAGCTGCCCTCGCAAGATGGGGTAGCCATACCAATTCTGTCTGTAGTGTCCCTTCCTCCAAGCAGCCAATCATCCTTTCCCCATTCTTGTGGTCCTAGGAGGGACTGTAATGGGGGCCATGCCCGTGGGAGAGTGTCATGTGATCCAGGATGGCCAATCACAGAACCCCCATTTGTTGGCTGATATAATATACTATGACCACCAAAAGGGCCAATTGGATTCTTCTATGGCTTTGGGGAGGAGGCTTCTCTTGTTCTGCCAGGTTTTAGGTCAGGAGAAAAGAAGCCTGGGACCTTTGTTCTGGGGTTAAGAACCTAAGAAACAGAATCAGGCAGCACCAACAACCCTGGAGGTAGCCTTCTAGCTCCTGGATACAGCTCTGCCTCAAGCCAGCACACTCTTGAATTCCCTGGGAGCGGCCTACCTTTTTGACTTTATACTGCTTCCCTGGGGAGAGGCGGGCTTGGTTAGTGTCCTCTCAGTGCCCTGTGACTGGTGGCCCACACACTAGCCCTGGGGATTGTTTGGAAGACACTGCCATGTGTGTGAAAAGGAAGCCACCTGTTTGTCTCCAAATGCTTGCCTATGACTTGGAGAGGGAAAGTCCTTGCCTCATGGGATGACTGTGAGAACCGAGACAAAGCCTTCCTTCCAAACCCTTTGCACAGGACCCTGCAGCTTCAGGAAGCCCAGTAGATACGACGGTCACTGTTTTATTCATAGCAACATCATCAGAGAGAAACGCTCCTGACATGGTAGCAGGGGTGGTAGTGACTTATTTTTCGTTTCATCCCCAGATGAGAAGACAGTTATACACTATGTTTCCTAGCAAGCTTTTCTATTCCTTCCCATCCTGGTTGACTGAAGACTCTTTGAGACACCTCTAGGGGCCTCTGTTCAGTCTCTAAGTCGAGGCCAAGGTCGGATGAGGCCAGGCTTGTCTGGCCCGTGGCTAGACACTTTGTCTCCCTTGCCTGTTGTAGAAGTGAGATGGGAAGTGTTCCCGAACAGAACCCTGGTCGCTGGGAATGGAGTCTCAACTGTAATCAATGTGATGCCTGGGGTCTTGGAGGGTTTTAAGGGGGAAAGACGGTTGGGCAGCTGGGAATGTGTGCATGGAAGAAAGAGGAGTGGCAGCTTTTGTACTTCCCCCCCAGCTTTGCTGTGCACCTAAAACTGTTGTTACAGAAGAGTATATGTGTTCGGCAGCACGTATACTAAAATTGGAACGATACAGAGAAGATTAGCATGGCTCGTGCGTAAGGATGACAAGCACACGCACACACACACACGAAGGAAAGAAAGTCAATTAAAAACCAAACATCTAAAGGGGAAGCAGGTGGATAGTGAGCACGTTGAGAGGCACCAGTTGCACCCATTCTCCAAATGCCAGACTGAGACTCACAGAGGTCTCAACATTGAAATGAGCTGGGCTGCCTGAAGCGTGGAGGCTTCTCCTAGAACACAGTGTGTGCCTCGTCATAGGGAACTACCAGGGAACGTGGCCTGCCGTGTTTTACTGACCCTGGCTGTCCAGTTCCCTTCCTCGACAGTGGGCGTATCTGTGCTGCTCTGGGGGAGCACTGGGGAGACGGTGTGGCCCGTGACCTGCAGCTCCTCTCCAGGAAGGCCCTACTTCTCTTACATTGGGCCCCTTCTTTCCCAAAGCCCGTTCTGCTGTTCTTGAACAGCAGCTGTCTGCTGCTGTTGGTGCAGAGGGGAGGGAAGACCTGACCTTACCTTTGGGTGACCAGATAAACCTGGCCGACTACTGACCTCTCACTCTGTCCCTGTGACGTTGAAAATCTTGATCAGGTTTATTTCTAGTGTGACCTTTGCATGCCCCTGGCCTTGGAGGGCTGCAGGGAGCTGGCTGGAGGCTGGCACTGGGCACTGATATGGCCAGCTTGGCATGAGCAATCTGTCTAGATGCTGCCTTCTTGAGCACTGCCAGGGTCTCCAGAGAGGGGAGAGGAGGACTGGGCAGACTGATCCTGCCTTTGGTGCCAGGGCATGCGAGGAGATGAGACCTAATTGTTCAGATTGATGCCTGGGCAGGGGCTGCAGTCTTGAGCTTGGAGCTGGGCATGAGCTGCAAAGCCAAGGCCATGCCTTATGAGTGGTCACGATTGGTCCATCAGGGACCTAAACTCATAAAGGAGGCCAGAGCGTGATGTGGCATGGTCAGTGGCCTTTGGGTGCAGGCACTGTGACCCGAGCTGTGGCTGAGCAGGCAAATGCTAAAATCCCCAAGAACCTAACCACGTTCTTTCTTCTCCTGGATGGAGGATTGTGTGTGTGTGTGTGTGTGTGTGTGTGTGTGTGTGTGTGTGTGTGTTTCATATGGCGTCTCATAAAAATGCTGATGACAGCCATGTGAGTCGGATTTCATTATATTGACTGCTCCAAAGAAGAGAATGAAATTCAGAGAGCTGCAGCATGTTCCCAGATAGTAAACAGGGCAATGACATTGAGAGGAGGTGTGTTTGATTCCCAAGTTTTTTTCCACTGCATCTGTCACATTAAGCTTTGGTCAACTGACATAGGTTAGTAAATATTAACTAGGCATCTTTTACATGCATGCTCATCTTGCACAATGCACAGGACCATCACATATTTTTTAAAAGGTTTATTTGTTTTTATTGGAAAGGCAGATTTACAGAGAGAAGAAGAGAGAAAGATCCATTCACTGATTCGCTCCCCTGGTGGCTGCAATGGCTGGAGCTGAGCCAATCTGAAGCCAGGAGCTTCTTCCGGCTCTCCCACATGGAGGCAGGAACACAAGGACTTGGGTGTATTGGCAGGGAGCTGAATCAGGAGTGGAGCAGCTGGGACTCGAACTGGTGCCCATCTAGGATGTCAGCACCAGGGGCGGCATCTTAGCCTGATGTGCCACAACTCCATCCCCCTTGTCTCTCATTTAAAGCCTGGATTTCCTGTGTTTGAGCCCTGGCTGTTCTGCTCAGTGATTGTGGGACACTGGTGGACTCTTTCAGTTGCTCTGAGCCTGCAAGGTGGCTGCATGAAGCATGTTTCTCTCATGGGAGTGATGTACAGATTCAAAAAGCCAGTGCACCCTCTTTTTCCTGAGTGAGTGATGGCTGAGACAGGTGCCTTGACAAGGACTCCCCCAGCTCCTCTTGCAGGTCGGGAGGTTGAGGCTCAGGGAGAGGAGGCAGCTGGGGACCCCTTGGCAGCCTAGGCTGTGGTGCCCGCTCCTGCTCTAGGCTCGCTCCCGTCAGCCTTGGAGCTCCTCCGAGCAGTTGCTCTCTGGCTGAGGGGATTATACTATAATTTGGGATGGTGCCCTGAGATGGAGAGGAAGTGTCACTCCAGGCAGGTAATGGGACAATTAGACCATGGGCTGCTGATTCCCCTTTTAGCCTCAGTGACTGCGTGGCATCCAGCGGGGAGGGCCACGCGGCTGCTCCAGGAGCCTCTAATGGACAGGGCAGGCTTCACGCTTGGACGAGCATGCGCAGGTCAGGTCTGGGGAGCCTCGTTGGCAGGTGGAAGAGCATGACCTCATAACAACAATAAACAAGCAGGTGTTTTTGTCTGGTGCAGTGGTCTTACTGAATGCGCAGGCGTGCTGGCTCCGTGACTGAAGCTCTCGGTCACTTCCGTATGGGTTTGCTCCATCTCCGCATGAGACCCCAGGCCCTCACACTGAACTTCAGCCCTTTTGCCTTGCTGCCTGATCTCCTCCATCCCCCACCTGTTTCCTTTTAAAACATTTCCATCTGTACTCGCCTTCTCAATGTGCTTTGGTAATAGCCTTGACACGACTCTCTGGAGTCATAGCACCTGTCATCCTGGCCCATCTTCAGCTATGGGTCCAAGCAAGCCCATTGTATGGCCAAGGAGACTGAGGCTCCCACAGTCTATGCGATGTTGGTGGAAGTTCCAAATCCAGCCTCGGCTGCTCTTCCCCTCTCTGCTCCTGCTAGCGTGCTGCCTGGGGTGGTTTCAATCTGAAATGGCTTGTTTGGGCTCTGCCTCAGGATGCCTCTTCGGCTGGCTGGCTGAGTAATGACATAACACAGCGTTTGAGACGCTCCTCTTCTCCCCGGGATCATTAAAAAATGTTATTTCCTGTTCTTTTTTCAGAGTGGCTGAGCACAGTTCAAGTAGATTATACCGGAATCCTCAGGAAAAATAGCGTTTTCACAACCTGCAGGTTTGTCTTGGCACGGGGACCGGCAAAACATTCCCTCAGGCCTGGGAGGAAGGAACCCACTTGGGCTGGCTGTAGAGAGCGTCTATTGTGGCTTCTTTTTAAGAACAAATTTAATTTTTAAAAACCTATTAGAGAGGCAGAGAGGGAGCAAGAGGGAATAAGTGAGCCCATCCAAGTGCCTGCAGCAGCTGGGAACGGGCCAGGGAAAGAACCAGCAAACAGGAACACAGCCTCCATCTCCCATCACTCCAGCTCCCTGGCCCTGATGGCTGCAGAGTCTGTGTGAGCAGGAGGCTGAAGTAAGGGATGGGCCCAACGCAGGATGCGGAAACACTCACCCTTGGACCGGACGCCTGCTTCCGGCAGCCGCTGTTTCTGCCTCCCGTTGTCTGTCATGTGGGTGCTGGCAATGACATCTTGCTTTCCTTTTTATTTTTATGTAATCTTCTTCTTTTTCTTTAATGAGCCAGCTAGCTTTACTAGGTTGCAAAATGCAGGACACTGAGTTAGATTTGAACTTGAGATAAAACACAAAACCTCAAGTTATTGCATATTTACTTACATGAAAATTATTGTTTCTTTACAAATTTGAGTTTAACTGGACACATTACATTTAAAAATATTTATTTATTGGGAAGGCAGAGTTAGAAAGATCAAGGCAGAGATTGTCCGTCTGCTGGGTCACTCCCTAAATGGTTGTACTGGCCAGGGCCGGGTCTAGCTGAAGCCGGGAGCCTCTTCCAGGTCTCCTACATGGGTGGGGGAGCCTAGGCACCTGGGCCAACTCCAACTTCTGTTTTCCTGAATGCAGGAGCAGGAAGCTGGATTGGAAGGGAAGCAGCCGGGACTTTAACTAGCACCCGTATGGGATGTTGGTGCTGCAGATGGCGGCTTGATGCTCCAAGCTGCAGCATCTTCCCCACCCTGTACTCTTATTTGTCTTAACCCAGGTGGTTAAGGTGGGACTGACCCATCCCACCCTGGCACTAGCAGTGGGTAGGTGGGCATGCCTCTGATCTTTAGAGATGGGTTCGGGGGCAGGCATGTGATCAAAGACACAGAGTCTCTTTCTTGGCAGGAGGGCTTATTAAGCTGGGATGGCTGGAGAATGAAGCCAGGCCAGAGGGGGTACAACAGAAATGGGGGACAGTGCAGAGAGAGAAAGATGGAAGAGCCTGGGACTCCGAAGAGGTCGGCTGACTCCTGGATGCAGCCGCTGACCGTCAGGGTAATAGTAACAGAGGGCCGGGGTTGGAGGGAAAGCTGACGGGGTGGTGGTGGTGGGAAATGTGCATCCTAAACCTGACGATGCTGAAGCGGTGAGATGGGGCAGGGGCTGTGCAGAGCCAAGCAGGGCCGCAGCAGCTCATTGGGTGCTGCTAACGCAGACCACGCCCACGAGGCCACGGACAGAACCTGAGACAGTGTCGGCAAGGTGATGAGTGCATCGCTAGCTCCCATCAGCCCCCGTTGTCTTCCAAGAAAACCTGCTCATCTGCTTGCCCCCTCCTCGTGCCAGCCCCCAGGATCTGCTGCCCCCTCCTCATGCCAGCCCCCGGGATCTGCTGCCCCCTCCTCGTGGCAGATCCCTCCCAACCTGCTGTGCTCACACGAAGGCCAGACTGAAGGGGCTGGGGTATCGAACTGTCCAGTGCTTCGGATAAAAATGCCCGCGTTTCCTCTTGCGTGGCCAGGCCTCTGTGACCGACCCCTTCCCTACCCGCAGTCTCATTTTCCTCTCCTTCCCCACCGGTTCTGACCTGATTGCCCCCTCCTGCCCTTTCTGTGTAAGCCGTCCTGTCAGCGTGAGATGCCTTTGTGACCTTTGCAGTGGTCCCTCACACAGGCCCCCTGAGCCCCTGCCTCTCTTCCCTCAGCGTGTTGTTCCCTGTGCACCTTATTGAACCAGTTCAACCACAGCTTGGTCGTTTCTGGTCCCTGGCACGACTGCTCTCAGCCCCAAGGGCAGGCGGTGCCCTCACCCCGCACCCCAGACTGGTCATCTCCAGCACTGGGGAGCTGCTTAGCAAATAGGAGCATTTTTTCCCTGTGTACCTAGATTTGCACAAGGCTGAAGTCCCACCCCATACACCTTCTAAGGATTATGTTTGTGATTTATGCGGAATCCTTTCAAACTCTTATTCATGTGTTTGACAGGAAGAGAGAGAGAGAGAGAGAGAGAGAGAATTCACTCCCCAAATGCCTGCGACAACAGCCCAGGCTGGACCAGGCCAAACGGGACCAAGGACTCAGTCTGGGTCACCCATGTGAGCAGCAGCAAACCAAGGACTTGAATCACCGCCTGCCACTTCCCAGGGTGGCACACACAGAGCTGTAATCACAGCCTAGGCACTTCGCTACGGAACAAGGATGTGCCTGTATTCCTGACACGGACTCCAATGTCACACACCTAGAAGGTGCTCAAGAAATAGTTCTTGAAGGAATGCAAGGTTTATGATGGTGAGGAAGATAATGGAATGGATAAAGACATTGGTATGAGTAAGAAAAAATGATAATGGCGATGGTGGGTTAGGGATGGCGATGGTGGGTTAGGGATGGTGACGTGGGTTAGGGATGGTGATGGTGGGTTAGGGATGGTGATGGTGGGTTAGGGATGGTGATGGTAGGGGTCGGGATGGTGACATGGGGTAGGGATGGTGATGGTGGGGGTCGGGATGGTGACGTGGGTTAGGGATGGTGATGGTGGGGGTCGGGATGGCGATGGAGGGTTAGGGCTGGTGATGGTGGGGGTCAGGATGGTGATGGTGGGGGTCGGGATAGTGATGGTGGGTTAGGGATGGTGACGTGGGTTAGGGCTGGTGATGGTGGGTTAGGGATGGTGATGGTGGGTTAGGGATGGCGATGGTGGGGGTCGGGATGGCGATGGTGGGTTAGGGATGGTGACGTGGGGGTCGGGATGGTGATGGTGGGTTAGGGATGGTGATGGTGGGGGTCGGGATGGTGACATGGGGTAGGGATGGTGATGTGGGGGTTAGTGGTGGTGCAGCTTGTGGTTATGATGGTGACAGAGATGACCGATTAGAGAATCTGGTCCACCTCTTTCAGTAACTGTCATTAAGAATTGGATCTGGGCCAGGCACGGTAGCCTAGTGGCTAAAGTCGTCACCTTGCAAGCACCGAGATCCCATATGGGTGCCAGTTCTAATCCCGGCGACCTCACTTCTGATCCAGCTTCCTGCTTGTGCCTGGGAAAGCGATGGAGGATGGCTCAAAGCCTTGGAGACCCGGAAGAGGCCCCGGTTCAGATTGGTGCAGCTCCTGCTGTTGCGGCCGCTTGGGAAATGAATCAGCGGATGGAAGATCTTCCTCTCTGCCTCTCCTCCTCTCTGTATATCTGACTTTCCAATAAAAATTAAAAATAAAAAATAAGTGTTAAAGAGAATTGGCTCTGCCTTTTCTCTCTGTAGAAAGTCAGGACCGGTGCAAAGGGCGGATTGGAGGCAGGGTCGCCGGGGCTGGAGGCAAGGGTGCGGGGAGCACCTGGAAACAGCGGCCGCCCCGCCTTCTCACTCCCGCAGGTGGCCCTGGGCCGACCTCCCTCTCGCATCATCGCAGAGCCGGCGCCAGCTCGCTCACAGCCGGGAGTGAGAGCCAAGCGACGGGGGGCGAGGCAAGATTCCCGAGTGTGGGGTTGGAAGAGGGGGCAGCGGCGGCGGTGTGGGTAGGCTGGGAGAGGAGAACAGAGAGCAGGGCTCAGGGGGAACGCGGAGGGAGAGGAGGGCGTGGGGAGCGCTGGGTTTGGGGCGAGAGTGGATTCAGGCGCGGGGTGGGTGGGGTCTGGGGAGGAGGGTCCGAAGGCTAAAGTCGGGTCCAGAGGCACAGGTGACGAGGTCCGCAGGTGCTCCTGGCGCGCCCAGCGGGGTGGTGGGCTGTGGTAGGGTGTGACCGTGCAGCTGAGGGTGTGAGGGTGGGGCAGGGGTCCTGGGAGGCTGCTGGGTGCAGCCAGGAGGGGCTCGCTGTTGCTGGCCGGGGACGCTGGCAGGTGGACAGGGTCCGTGTTTTGGGGTTCCGGGTTCCGTGATGCGGGTTCGCCTGGGCACCCTGGCGCGCGCGGCGGCGCTCACCGGGGCGCTCAGCTTTGTGCTGCTGGCGGCCGCCATCGGCACCGACTTCTGGTACATTATCGACACGGAGCGGCTGGAGAAGGGCGGAGCGGGCGCGCAGGATGTGCCAGGGGCCGCCAACCGCAGCCAGCCCGAGCCCCTGAGCTCCCATTCCGGACTCTGGCGGACCTGTCGGGGTAAGGGGTGCCTCCCGGGGATGGGGTTTGGGAGCCGCGACTGCTAACCCTACCTGCCACTTGCCCTGACCGCTTGGCACCTGTTGCCTGTTGCGCATACTTATCTGGAATCCCAAGCCCAACAGTGTCCGGCAGCGAAGAGGGAGGTGGGCTGGGGGCTGTCTGAGCCTTGAGCCGGTAGGGTTAGGGCGAGGTCAAAGGCATGGGGGCGGAACCCCAGGCGCCAGGGGTCCCCCCTACCTGTTGCTTCCTCCTTCCGGTGCAGTTCAGAGCCCGTGCACGCCGCTGATGAACCCCTTCTGGCAGGAGAATGTGACAATGAGCGACTCGAGCCGGCAACTTCTCGGTGAGTCCTGGGAAGACCGGGACTGAGCGAAGGGGGCCCCAGGCTGGTGGCCCCAGACGGGTGCTGGAGAAGGCAGTGGGACTAAGACGGCCTAGACTGACTGCTGTCCAGGAGCGGGGCACTGCAGTCTCCGGCTGGGGAGGGGTTGGTTGGCGGTGACACTGCAGGTGAGAGCAGACCGAGGGCAGGTGGGAAGTGGGCAGGCCCTGGAGGATGCTGTGGTTGTCACATACACACCGCCACGCACGTACACAGGAGGGCCTCAGATTCTGGAAGAATGGACTTGCCGGGCAAGTTTATTTTGGTGCAAATTTTTTTTTGCAATCTGTGCATCGTTTTTTGTTTTTCATGATATGCATCTTGCAGGAACTTTTTGAAGAGCATGTGTGTGCAGGCAAATGTGTACATAATCTGAGAGGGAAGTAAGGAGGAAGGGAGATACAGAGAGAGAGAGAGATACTTTGTGGCTATCTCCCCAGATGTGTAGAAGAGCAGAGGCTGGGCCAGGTGAGAGCCAGTAGCTAGCAGGTCATTCAACCTGGTCCTCACCGTGCAGGGACCTGAGTCCTTGAGCCGCCATCTACATGTGCACTCACAGGAAGCTGCCGGCAGAGCCAAGATTGAAACTCAGGCACCCCAACGTGGGATGCAGGCTTCCCAGCCGGTGACTTGCTCCATCCCACTCCACTCCTGGGTAGGCCAGGAGGCAGTGCCACCTTCATCCTGGGATTCGGTAGAAGCAGTGGCCCCTGGCAGGGGTGCAGATCAAGTCTAGGTCTCAGGTCTGGAGACGGGGTTGTTATCTTTGGCACTTGTGTTATTGGTGGGCGCAGGCTCCTCTTTGCTGCCACCAGGAACTTGATGCCAGGGACCGGGGAAGCTGTGGCTGTCAACACTTTTCAGCACTGGCTGTGGAGGTCAGAGGGCATGGGGAGACGCGTGCCCATGTGCTCTGGTCTCTGCCCTTTTGCACCTGCTTCCTGGCATCCCACCCTGGTCATCCAGCTTGGCATCTGCACTCTGCTGCTAGCTTACCATGGGCAGTTAGATTTTGTGGAACCAGGTGGGGTGCAGCCAAGTGGACCGTGGCCCAGCAGGATAAATGTGTGTGGCTCAGAGGGTGTGGTCATTACTGGAGATGCGTGCCGGCCACATTGGGGAGCCTGGATTTGAGTCCTGATATCGCTTTTGGCCCCAGCTCCCTGACGGTGGAGACCCAGAGTCCCTGATTCCTGGCCCTGGCTTGGCTGTTGGGGGCATTTGAGGAAGTGAGTCAGCAGGTGGGAAAAACCTCCCTGGCTCCCACTCTGCTGGGCCACAACCTGAGCGTCCAGAGGCCATAGCTCCTGCCAAACCTGCGCAGGAGGCGCCCCCTGGTGTCCACATGTGTGTTCTTTCGAGACACGCAGGCTTCAGTCCCTCCCATCAGCAAAAACACCTGCCGAGTGTCCCCGTGGTCCTCTGGCTTCTTTGGCTCCCGTGCCGGTGGTGCAGGTAGACTGTGTGGAGCCCATGGCATAGTTCATTCTCTCAGAGTTGGCTGCGTGTCCGGCATGGCTGTGACCTGCCGCTCTGTTGCCCACAGGGCAGGTCTGATCTTTGGTCCTCACCGTGTTCCAGTTGTGGGCAGGTATGTATAGATACTGCAGATCCATGTGAGAAGTTCAGCGGTGGAAATCTGCTCAGAGAAGCCTCAGGGCGCAGGAGACGGCCTCCTGTGGAGGATATCTGGGAAGGCTTCCTGGAGGAGGAGGAGGAGGGTGTGTCAGAGCTGGGTGCTGGCTAAGGGGTGCTCAGCAGGTGTCTCTCCCCAGCCATGCATGGAACATTTGTGATCCTGCTGCCACTCAGCCTCATCCTGATGGTCTGCGGGGGCATGACGGGTTTTCTGAGCTTCCTCCTCCGAGCTGGCCTCCTGCTCCTGCTCACAGGGGCACTCTTCCTCCTTGGAGGTAGGTGCTTGCCCCGCCCAGGCTCGGCCCTTCAGGGGTGCTGGGTGCGTGTGGCTGGGTGCGTGTGGGAGGGCAGGGCCCTTCTCGTGGGGTCATGAATGACGCCACCTGTCCCCTTTGCCCCCGGCCATGAAGGTTAGAGCTCTGGGCTGGCATGGGCAGAGCCAGTCCTGCCGGTGTCACTGCAGCCAGCAGGAAGTGCATGTGGCTAGGGACCTCTGGCCTGCACAGGCTGCCATTCAGCTTGGGGGCTGAGCAGGCGGAACTGACAGACAGAAGTGGAGGCTGGGCCAGGGGAGGGGTGCAGGGGACGCTGGTCACAGGACACAAAGCTGCAGGGATGCCGAGGGGGGAGGAGGGAAGGGAGGGAGGAGGTTGGGGAGCTGGAGGAGGAAGGGGAAGGATGGCAGAAGGCTCACACGCGCCCTGCGCTCTCCTGCAGCCTCGGTCACACTCACCGGCATCAGCGTGTACATCGCCTACTCGGCCGCAGCCTTCCGGGAGGCACTGTGTCAGCTGGAGGAGAAGGCGCTGCTGGAGCAAGTGGACATCCGCTTCGGCTGGTCCCTGGCTCTGGGCTGGGTCAGTTTCGTCGCCGAGCTGCTCACCGGGGCATCCTTTCTGGCAGCCGCCCGTGTGCTCAGGCTGAAGCAGAGACAGGACCAGGCCGTCTGAGCCTGGATGGCCACCCGTTGCCCCGGCGATGGGACCTAGCCGGGCGCTGGGCAGTGGTCTTCGTGCGGCCAGGGCGGTGTGTGCTGTGTCCCTGTGTGTCACCATGGGACGAGGGTCTGGGGCGTGGCGAAGCTGCACCGCTGACACCCAGGGCAGCAACCGTGCAGTCACAGCCGGGACTCTATCCAGCGCCATCTCTGGCTTCAGCTTCTCTCTCGCAGACCTGGGCGGCTCGGGTCCAAGTGCAGGCAGGCAGGTGTACAGGCACCGGATACAACACACAGGCACACGACGCATAGGTGAAGAGTGCGCAGGTATCTGGCTCGCAGCATGCGGGCACACAGGCGCACAGCGCATAGGGACATGGCACTTGGGTGCAGGGCAAGCAGGTACATGGCACACAGGGACACGGCATGCAGGGACATGGCACACAGGGACACGGCACACAGGGACATGGCACACAGGGACACGGCACGCAGGGACATGGCACACAGGGACACGGCACACAGGGACATGGCACACAGGGACATGGCATACAGGGACATGGCACACAGGGACATGGCATGCAGGGACACGGCACACAGGTACATGGCACGCAGGGACATGGCACGCAGGGACATGGCACACAGGGACATGGCATGCAGGGACACAGCACACAGGTACATGGCACGCAGGTACATGGCACACAGGGACATGGCACGCAGGTAGATGGCATGCAGGTACATGGCACACAGGGACATGGCACACAGGGACATGGCACACAGGTAGATGGCATGCAGGTACATGGCACGCAGGGACATGGCACACAGGGACAAGGCATGCAGAGACACGGCATGCAAGCGCATGGTGTGCTCAGGGCTGCCACACAGGGACATGGCATGCAGGTAAACAGCACACAGGTACATGGCACGCAGGTACAGGGCACACAGGTACAGGGCACGCAGGGACATGGCACACAGGGACATGGCACACAGGGACATGGCATGCAGGGACACAGCACACAGGTACATGGCGTGCTCCTCGCTCCAGGCCCCAGGATCGGTGCGTGCTCCCCATGGGACCCTGTGAGCTGGCCTACTGGGGGGCAGGTGTGTGAACTCTCTACCAGGTGCGAAGGGACTGTGGGAGTCCCAGGGCGGCCTCTCCATGAGTACTGGTCCGGCTTGCAGCAGAGCCCCTGCCTAGGAGGGCGAGAGGGACAGATGTTGGGTCCTGGGGTGGAGATAAGGTGCCTGGCAAGGGGGTGTCCAGTGCTTCCCACGCCTTCACGGAGGCTTATTGCAAGATTTCCCTCCACATTCTGCATCCCGGGCCAGCTCTGAGCTCTGCCACCTGACCCCAGCTCCCTGCTCAGGCGCAGCCCTGGAGGCTGGGGTGATGGCTTTAGTGAAGGGCCGGGCTTACAATGTCACACCCCAGAGGGTGGAGTCTACAGTGCCACACCCACAGAGGGCGGGGCTTTCAGTGCCACACCCACAGAGGGCGGGGTTTACAGTGTCACACTCAGCATGCAGTTCACTGGCTCCTGCATGGGAAATGACTGCACAGGCCGGCACTGTGGCGTAGCAGCTAAGGCCCTGGCTTGCGGCATCAGCATCCCGTAGGAATGTCAGTTCGAGTCCCTGTGTCAACCCTGATGCAGCTCCCTGCCAGTGCTGCTGGGAAGCCATGGAGGGTGGCCCGGGTGCTTGGGTCCCAGGGAAGCCCTGGGTGGATTTCAGGCTCCAGACTGGCCCGGCTCAGGCCTTGTGGTCATCGGGTGGGGGAACTCCATCACCTTTCAAATAAATACATCTTATTTAAGAAACAGAAATGATTGCATACCGCCCACTGAATGGCATTGTGGGACAGTGTGCACTGCACTGAACTCTGGGTAGGGGGGTTGGGGGATCTGCTTTCTTCCTTCCCCAGAAAGGCCTGCCCCCCGCATCCCGTGGGAGAGCGGACAGACAGACCCAGGCCAGGCGGCGATAAGCTGCTCTGGGGCCATCCTCTGGGTGGTGATGACCAGGACCTGCGGGTGGAGGGTGAGGCCAGGCCTGGGCAGGAGGTTCCGGGTGCAGCCGGGAGGCACGGGGTGAGGCCACCTGGGTGCCTGCCATGTCAGAGGCTCCTCGAGGCTTGGCACTGTGGCAACCTGCAGGTTTGAGATCCCGGGTTCCACTTGGCCATCCAGCTCCCTGCGCATGTACCTGGGAAAGCAGTGGAGGATGGCCGAAGTTCGTGGGCCCCTACACCCATACGGGAGACTCAGAGGAAGCTCCAGGCTGCTGGTTTTGGAGCAATCCAGCTCTGGCCACTGGACCTCAGGGGCCAGGTGGGCGCAGTCACGCCTTCACATCACCGGCCTCTCAGGGAGGCGAACTTCGCAGAAGCGCGCGCCGCCGAAAGGACGGTCTCTGCTGCCACCTGCTGGCGTCATGGCGGAAGTGCGCCAAGGGCAGCCCGGCGTCGCCAGTCCAGGAAGGATGGGCCAGGGCAGGTTGTCCGGGAGGCTGTTGAGAGATGGTTCCCAGCAGGTGGGACAACAGGGGTAGCGGTGAGGGCTGCCCTCTGCTCTCCGTCATCGTGGGGAAAGCAGGTTGCTTGTGAAGGCTGCTGGTGCCAAGGGACACACCCCAGGACATTTCCTCTTTGTCCTGTGATTGTGTGGTGGGCACACAAGTGTGGTGGGACTCTTACAAGTGCTGAGAGCCTGGAGAGTCGGGGTCCCCAGTTCAGGCTCCAGCTCCAAGCCTCCAACTCTCTCTAGGGACCAGGACCAGTGGGTGCAGAATGAAGCAGCGTCATGTAATGGGAGGGCACCAGAGCCCATCGTTTAAAAATGCTGACCTCGGATGCTCTCCCGCATTAATTTGGGGTTTATTTCTGTAGAAATCTGCCTTTCAAATGAAAATGAATAATCTCTTATTATTTTTTTAAAGACAGTACCCCAGTACCCCAGGCGTCCTGTCCCCACACACCTGCCTAGAGAGCGACCGTCACCCTCATTTCCTGTCACCTGCGCTTCTCTCTCACGCGACTCCGGGCTCCCAGGGCGCCACGTGGACCTCTTTCTGCGTCCAGTCAGAGCTGGTTAGAAGAGTTCGCGGAGGATGCCAGCGGGTCCTCTCGGCATCTTCAGTTTGGGTCATCGGACATCGGTCTCCTCACTGACACGGAGTGTTCTGCGTTGTCTTATCTGCCAATTCAAGTAAAACAAATTGCAGTTCGCGCGGGTCTGTGGATCTGTTTCGTGGCCATAGATACACAGTGAGTTTGAGTTCACGTGTCTGCGGGCATGAACGAGAGAAGGCTGAGGGAAACAAGAGACCATCCCTGCTCAGAAAGCTGGCTTCTGGGGTGGAAAGATCTGGGGTGCCTCGACGGGGTGCTGTCCTCTGCAGGGCTTCTGATAAATAGGTTCTTCCGTGGATACACAGGTGTCTGTGCTGTGAGATTTCACGGTGGCGATTAGGAAAAACCAGATTCAAGGGCTGTTCATGGAGGTGCCAAGGGACGGAAGCCGCCAGCTCCTGCTGCAGATGCCAAGATGCAGCCGGCACTTGGCCTGGACCTGGGACTCAGGGAGGGTGTGGTGCGATGGTCAGGGTTTGCCAGGGGTTGGGCATGCTCTAGGCTTGGAGCAGGTGCTCATCCTGCCCCAAGGAGGATGCCTTGCGAAGCAGAGATGGGGGTGCCCATAGGGGTCTTGGGCTGACTACGCTTTTGTTGGAGCTGTCCCATGCTGGGCTCATCTGGCTGTGGCTTCTCCATGTCCTTCCAGTTAGCTCTGGGACTGGATGAACAAGAGGAAGGGATCTGTTCAGAGCTTTCTGTAGCCACAGAGCCTGCCAGAATTGCTTTGATTTCGGAAAAGACCCAAAGGCAGAAACGGGAAGAGGAAGGCCCTGCAGGGGGCACAGGTGGACACAGGCCGGCAGGGCAGGTGTGTTCTGGTTGGAGGCTAACAGCAGAGGGCGCTGTGGGTGGGCTCGTTACATGTGGCCAGCTTGGATGATGCATTAGGGCTCAACGGTTTCAATCCTGCAGGTCCCGTGTTGGAAGTGGGAATGAAGAATTGGGGAAGGCGTCAATCGTTGAGTCCTAGCTATCGGGAGCTGATAGGTACATGAAAAAAGGTCTGGCTTCTAACGCACGGTAAGAGGCACATCCACCTTTCTTTAATCCTCAATCCTTCTCACCCTGTTCAGCTATGTTAAAATCATCTAAAATAAAAGAATTAAAAAAGAGAGAGCTCCAAATTACACGGACACACCAACATGTCCATTGGCACCCATAGATTGTTGGTGGAGGATATGAGAGATGAGCAGCTGAAAGGGATGGAGTGAGAAGAGAGGGCGCTGTTTGGCCTGGTGCTGAAGACATCCGTGCAGACACTGGCATCTCTGTGGCTCACTGAGTCCTGGCCCCCTCCCAATGCCAGCCTCCTGTTGTTGCAGGCAGTGGTAAGAGTTGGAGCCTCACCGCCCACGTGGGAATAAGAGCAAGGGGATGTGTGGGGTTCGGCGCTGAACTTCACAGGGTCGGATGGTGGAAGAGAGAAAAGTGGGCTTGGAAGGAAGACCTACCGTGCTGGGGAGACGCAGCCACACTTCATCTGGGTCTCTGGGGAGAGCAGCGTGTGTTCTGTTGGATGCAGCTCTTTTTCAGATGTCTGCAGGTTTGACTGGGTTGAACAGAGGACAAAGGAATTGAAACGCATCGCTGAACTGACTGTGACCGTGGCCACGATACGTATTCTCCATCAGCCGGCGTCAGAGCTACAGCCACAAAGTTTTTGAACACTGACAAGGGCAGAATGTTCTTGATCAGTGGCCCAAAGAAGGAAACCCAAGCTTGGCAGCCAGCAGACCTGCCCCTATGGGTTTCAAGGTCTCCCCTTGTCTCAAGCCATAGAGTGCCTCGTCGCTTGAAGCCCTTTGCAACATCAACCCCCTGATGTTGTTGACATCCAGCCCCTGACAACTCCTACACGACCCTCAGAACCCTGCTCACAT